CGTCGCCCTCCTCATGATTTGTTGGGTTTCAACTTCAATTTTGAAATTGGGAATTTGTTTGGAATCTTGGATTTGGGTATATTTGTAGCTAATGGGTTGCAATTGGGCCTTATTGTTTGAAAAAAAAAAGGCCCAAAGGATGCAAACACTGAATTGAAAAAAAAAAACAAAGGAAAAAAAAAATAAAAATCACCTGGCGCCGGCTGTCTTCTTCCCTTCTTCCTGGCGGCACTTCAAGCTCCAGCGGACCCAGCACGGGCGGCCGCGGGGGCTGGCCAGGTGCTGGGTTCGCCCTGACTACATCATGACACGTGCGTTGCACGTGCTTCTAACTAGTGATATTGATAAGATTGATTACTCAAACCAAGACAATAACTATATGCTTTTCTATGCGTTGCAGCCTGGATTGCCCAATAATCGGATGTAAGTTTCAACATCATTCATTTTTTAAGTGATAGGTAGCACGTGTTTGGGCTCAACATGCTCTAAATGTGAACCAAAAGATCAAAAGTTGTTGTCAAGCATGTTTCGAAGATCGTGTAGGGCAAAAATTATGGCAAGGTTCAATGACATGTCACCACTCACATTTTCTGTACAGACTGAACTTCAATCGAGCCTCGATTATTTCACGGTTTAGCTTGGCTTCCTTGTCCCCTTATATGTCGATATTTTTTTGTGTATGAATTGAGAAAACGAGGAATGTTTAGGGAAGTTAAGTAGAGTAAATTGCTCATCTCGGTTCACATCCAAAGCAAGTTATGAGAGCGATCCGAGTTTTTTGAGCAATTGCACGAATTAACTTGCGATCCAAGCTGGCTAGCCCGTGGGTTTGCCTAATTGATCAGTCTGCATGACTTTTCTTCAATATAATGGAGTTGTACATTTGATTCCAAATATTTTTTTCGATTTTAATTTTTGTAAAAATTATTCTTCAAAAAAGTAGGCCGCGTTCTCTTTGCCGTTTTCGAGCCATTTTCTGTTTTCGATTTTTCAAAACATTGAAAATGCATTTTTTTTTCTATTTTCGAAAACGAAAATTTTTTTTTTTACACTGAAAATGCCAAAACAGTTTTTCAATGTTTTGGCTATTTTCCAGCAAAAACAACCCAAAATTGAAAACACTGGAAATAGAGTTATTGTTCATATACAAAAATCAATCTGTATCTTCCTTATCTCATCTCGTCGGTTTCTCTCCTCCAACGCCGATGACCACCACTGTTCTACCACTGCCACAACCAAACTGTTAGAACCTTATCTCCATCTCGCCACCAGAAAGACTCAAGCACTGCACAAATCGCACAAATCGGAACCAGAAGCAAAATAAAAAATAACAAGGAGAAAAGGAGTAGTACATGTACAAGTAATAATTGTAATAAGTGAGTTATCGTTCCACAGGGAATAAGACTTAATTTTAGAGTATTCGATATATTTAAATTCGCAAATATAACAAAAAATGGTTGATTTTTAGTTGACTACGTTCTATAACTACGAAAGCAATAAAAATGATTTTAAATCAAATGTGGGTGAGTGTATTGGATTTCCGACTCACTAATCAATTCTTAATTTCAATTCTCAACCAGTGATAATTAATTCGATTCATGCAATTGCGACGATTAATAATTCCACTTTCATTTACTATTCTTTCCCAAGATATAATAAATCTATGATTGCCACGAGACGATCCTATTCCTAGTCCGAATTCATATGACAAGCAAGCATTGACGTT